CATTGACGTCGTGTTTCCCTCGGCACGAGCCGTGCCTTGTCCGTTGGGTCGGACGGCGCTGGCTCAGCTGCGGAGACGATGACGCATTAGGCTATCGCGGTGCGGTTGATTCGCTTCCCGGGCTTCGGGCGCAACAAATGACACCTTGGTGACAATTGTCACTTTACTCGGCATCGGCGTTCGGGTGTGAACGGAGCGGAGCGGTGGCAGGTCTGGTGGGGAGGGCGACCAGCACTCACGCCCGCACCCGCACGGGCACCAGCACCAGCACCAGCACTCGCAGCCGCAGCCACAGCGGCAGCCACGCGCGGGCCGTGCGCACGTCCAGAGCGGGACCGGTCCGGATCGCGTGGCACTGCCTGCACTAACTGGGTCAGACCGATCGATGTGCGTGGGGCGGCCAGGCCGGGGTGCGGCGGCGGTGGGCCGACTCACGGCCGGCCAGGCCGGGGTGCGGCGGCGGTTGGCCGACTCCGAGCGGCGCCCAGCCCGCCCATGCCGGCGGTGTGGCCAGGGACGTCAGCCCACCGCAGGGCCGGGCTCCCCGATCGAGTCGGCCGGCCGCGTGCGATGAAGGGCTGAGTGGGGCGTGGCGGGGCGCATAGCGGAGGGCGTCGCAGTCCGGCGCGCTCCGCCGCCCCAACATTGTCAGGTGTCCCGCATCAGGCGCCCGCTAACAAAGCGGCCCGGTTTTCGAATCCCGTTCCATTAAGCTATTGTATAAACGAAGACAAAGCCCGCCGGCACTAACGACTCATCTAAGCCGTTGCGGACGTTCAAAAGCCGCTGTCCCGTGCTCGGTTTGACGCCGCGGCCGCCCCGAAGCGACACCGGAGCGGCGCTCGAGGGCGGGGCGGCGGCCGGGCCACTAAGCAGCCACTTGGCACTGCCCCCTCCCTCCCCGGCCTCCAGCAGAGGGCAGTGGGCTGCAATCGATCAATCGATGGCGTGAGAAGAGCGCGCGCCGGGACGCACGAGTGCGTGCGTGGGTGCAGCTGGCGGCGGCCGCAGCGGCTCGTGCCGCCTCTCCGGCGGCAGCCTCGGCGGGGTGCTCGCCGCGGCGCTGGAGGCGGCCGCAGCCGCTGCGCTGCAAAGCTGCCGCGGCGTCGGCGTCGGTCGTGGAATCCCGTGACGCGCGTTCACAGCCCCTGCCCGGCTCGGCATGCTCGCCCGCGTCGGTCGGCGACGCTCGCGGCGCGGTCGCGACGGTAATTGGCGGGCGGTGTGCAGTGCGGCCTTTATGACGCTCATGGCGCGCCGCTCGGTGCCTGATCGCGTCTCAGGACGGTGCGCCGCCGGCGGTGCCGCTGGCCGCGTGAATCTGCTACGCAATGAGCTCCGCGCGCGGACCGGGCGCGGGACCAAGAGGGCCTTGGCGCGCGCGGGAATACGTGCGTCGTTTAATTAGCGCGGCGCTCCGGTGACCATCCCGGATATGGACGCCGGACGCGGAAAGGAAGCGCTCTGTTCTGAAGCACCTGACGTAAAGGGTGGACCGCCGGGGTGCTGATGGGTGTCGTGCCGCACCAGGGACCGGAGAATGCGCGCGGGACCTGAGACCGGCGCTTACGGTCTAGGAGCATGCATGAGGCGCGTGATGGACGCGCTGGCCAACCAACGACCACGCTTCGACTGACCGTGGCCGTCTGCGCGTATAGATCGCAGAACCAGCAGCGGTACCGCCGGCGGGTCGTGCCCCGGGGCGCCGGCTCGCCGTTAAATGGACGTGACCGGCATGCTGGCGTCGCGTTTCGTTTTAATTAGCATGCTTAATGCTTGTAATTGGGCGTCATAGGCGGAAACGCTGGCACTTTCCGGGCGGCGTGGCCACTGAGACCGGTCGCCGGCTTCCTGGCGGTGCAGGGAGCGGCGTGACAGTGGCCGGGCCGGCGTGGGGTGAGCAGCGCGCGGGGTCATCCACCGGCGGGCTGGACCGGGCCGGACCATGCGCCGGCTGCAACGCTCCGGCCCCCTCCCTCTCGCGGCCCGGCTCGCGCGGCTGCGCGGCCGGGCATCGAGCCCGCGCCACCCTTATTCAAAGTTGAGCGAGGTCATAGGTCTTGGCACGGCTTGCCCTGACGATTGTGGCGCGGAGTGCTGTACAGGGACGACAGAGGGCCTGCTTCTGCGACAGTTTACCTTAGTGGCGATGGTAGCGCGTACTGGGCAGATAGCGCAGAGAGCACCTTTTGTTTCAATGTATGCTGTCGGCGATAGCGGCGCGGTACAGAGACGACGTGGGCGTGCTCCGGGCACCGTTTGCGGAGGCGAGGTGGAGGTAGGCGGTGTCGGATTGACCGTGATGGCGTCGGGGGGGGGGGGGGGGAGAGGGGGCCTCCGTGGGTTAGATCACCTCGGCTCGGCCCCGGACGCCCAGCCGGGCAGCGTCGCCACTGGCCCCGCTGTCGACCCCGCCGCCCGCACTCACGCACGCACGCACGCACGCACGCACGCACGCACGCACGCACGCACAGACTGTCAGCCAGGCCCGCTTTGGCAGGCGAGCCGCGGCCAGTTCGACGGGGACGCGCCAGCTACCAGGTTACAGGTCCGGGACGGGTGTGCTAGTAGGTTGCAGGTCTCGCACCCGTATCCTGTTTAGTGGCCGATGGCGGCAATTCAACCCAACGTCGCCCTTGGCATCCGACGTTTTTGGGCCGCTGTTTTTGGCCTGCGCCGCTCTCGCCGCCGCCCCGTTTTTCTCCAGACGACGGACAAAAAGCGCGGCGGCGGCGCGACGTTGTGCCGCCCGCCACCCACCTATGTGCGGTACCGAAGCCGGGCCAGCGCCGCGGTCGCAGCCGGCCCTGGCCGCGGTCGGGCCTGGCCGGGGCGCTGACGGCCGCGCGCCTGCTGGCCCTGGAGTCCAGGGGCCGCTCGGACCTGGCTTCGACGATAGGCAACAGGGCTTCGGTTGGCGTAGATCGCCTGTCTGGGAGGCTCAGAGGCCGGAGAAACGTGGTCAGTCCTGGATGCAAGTTAACAGAGTGGCGTTGTTTGAATGGATGCCGTTAGCTGAGGGCGGCGTTCGTCAGCCTGGCGGTTTCACAGATGTTGCTGAGTAAACGATCGCGTGCACCACATGCTAACTACGATAATAGCAATACGAGTATACATGTATCGCGCATTGCAGTGCACTAAGTAACGTAGTCAGGTGTGTTCACTCGGGTCCATTTGCATCAGTCTTTGTAAATTGCGGATTTTCGTGTTGACGTCGAATTACTCAGCCTCCGGTCCGTGTCGAATGCTCAGCGACCATCTGAGGCGGCGCGCGGACGGGGTAGCCACGCGGTGCTCCGATCCTCGAGACCCCCTCGCTACATCCCATGTGACCTGCAGCGGGCTGATGCAACCGGCGCTTTCGTCACTCCATCGCCCCCCCGCGACTTGGCTTTAAACACAGCTGTATTTGCACGTGATGCTTGTCAGTGAGCCCCGCGACCTGTGAGCTCTGCGTCATCACAGCCTTCTGTCAAGAACGCAGTACACAAAGCTGGCTAGTGCCTGCAGTAGCCGTACCTAATCTATCAGAGCACATGATCACCGATTAGTGACGTGCCTGTCGGGGCCGCGGGTTGACCAGATAAAACCCGAACCGTAATTATTCATCCGACACTTGGCGCTTGGAGCCTGTGGACCCGGCGCCACGGCTCCGGACGCGCGGCGCGCTATTTTAGGCGGCGATTCCATGGTCCGCTGTGTCGTGCCGTCGGTCTCCAGGTGGCCGGCCGTGCGAGGCAGGGGGCGCGAGCGGCCGCCGATGCCCACTCGGTCACCCGATGGCGGGCGGGCGGCCGCGCTGGTCTGCTCTGTTGACCTGGCACGCGTCTCAGGCGTGGCACCGGATGCGCCCGGCAAGCGTTGCGCCGCCATGCCAGCGCAGGCGAGCAGCACTCTCCGGCCGGCCAGCCAGCGCCCCCCGTTTATAGGACAATCCGACAGCTAGCCTTGGGCAGCGATCACGCGCACGGAACACCTCGTTTGGTGCGACACGGCGTGGCCTGGTTGGGAGTCCTTCACAGCGGCCGAGCCGCGCCGGGCCGTGACCTCGGCCCGGCGGTGCCCCGATTCGTGCGCCGGGCGGCAGGGGTTGACCCCGCCAGCGGCGCCAGCTCGGTAACGGGCCGCCGCGGACCGTGCGTGGCTGATGGCGACCGTGCTGCCGGCCGGTCTGAGCGGAGCCGAGCGCCGCGTCGGCCGTTCTCTCCGTGCCGCCGTCGCGCTCTCGCCGCGGTCGTGTTTGTGTTGATCGTCGTGCGTTTGTGGACGGGCGCGAGGCCGCCCGCCCGCCCGCAGATGAATGAGGCCGGGTGAAAGTGGTGACTGTGGCAGCACGCGGCACAGCGGCTCGCAGCGCCGGCGGAGGTCATCGGTGCCGTCGGCCAACAGCCGTGCGCGGGCGCGCTGGCAGAAGACGGCCGCTGTCCGACCCGCTGCCTTGCTTGTATCGTCATCCGACGCGGACAGTCACAGCGCCAGCCACCTACTGTCATCTGGCACGGCGGCAGCCGTGCGCTGTCATCTGGCACACCGCCAGCCACACACTGTCATTCGACATGCGTTCAATGGATACACTGGGAGATAGGTGTCAGCCGGTATACCCCGTCATCTCCCGACAGCTGCCCAGCCCACCGAGCGACCCATCGCGCGCCGGAGCGCGGCCGAGCCGCCGGTGCTGCCCACCAGCCCACTGCCAACCAGCTGACCCGTGACGGCGCCGCGGCGCCGCAGGATCTGCCCGCCAGCTGTCAGATCGCCGGCCAACCCCCCTCGCGCGGCCCCCGCCCCGGGTGACGCCGTCAGCCGCCGCGACCCCGCGCCACGGGCGGCCGGCGACGGGGCAGCCGCCGGTGAAAGGCGCCGCCTCCGCCCGATGGTGCAACGCTGCGTTTTCGGGCCGTGCTGGGGCCGATTGGGGGCGACGCGCCGTGCCGGCGGCGTGCGGCAGCCAGCGGACTAACGCACGCGGCGTTTTAACCGCCTGCGTGTGTGCCTGGCAGGCGGGCGCACCTGCGGACCTGCCTGGAGCGGCTGCGCGAGGATGTGCCGCCCGGCCCGGACGCCAACCGCCACACCACGCTCGGCCTGCTCACGCGCGCCAGGGACTACATCCGGGTAAGCGGCGCCCGGTGACGGCGCACTGCAGGCTGGCACGGCGCGCCCGTGGCGGAGGCGGCGGCAGGGACGCTCCAGGCGGGGGGCGCAGCGCACGACGCCGGTGAGGTGGCGGACGGGCGCGCGCACCGCGCCGAGCTGACGGAGCTGTGCCGCCCTCAGGACTCACGCCAGCTGCCAGGAACGGCACCTCCTAGGTAGCGCTGCCATCGGAGCGACATCGGTGCTTGTCCGCCCCGGCCGGTGAAATTGCGTGTCGGTCTATCGGCGCGAGTGCGTTGGCAGCCGTCATTGTTTTCTCATTCATGCTTCATCCTGAACCCCGCAATGCCTCGCCTATCCGGAGCCAGCTGCATGCATCAGCTTGAAGCAGGCCTAGGTGCCCCTAGCGACCGCAGAAACTCCGAACAGTGTTCTGTGCGTGGCAAGTCTCGACAGCGGGGCACTCCTAGATGGATACAGTCGTCCCAATCACTTTCCACTCTTCATCACATGGCCCGAAAATAGCCATTGCCAGCCTAAAGAACTATCGAACCCCAGCCAAACAAAATATGCGGTGTTTCGCCTTGTGTACACGCATAACGTGATAGATGGCTCATTTAGGCTCAAATTGTATGGTGTATCAACAGGTGAAAGAGTCATAAATCCAAAGGCCTTACAGGGTCACTTGCCTTGTTTCTGTTTCTGCTGTGAACTGCGCGATGAGGCGTGGAGCGTGGCTTAAGCGCTTGAAGTATTTTCGTTAAAACCAGGGATGTGAGGGCGGTAATTTGCCAATCCACCATTCGCTTGGTGGCGCGTGTCCAAAACGAACACCACGACCGGTAGTTTTGACCACATGATTACGACTGTGGTAATAACTGTCAGGTACGTCGAGACGACACGACTTCTGTCCCGCTGTTTGTCGTGCGTCCATGTCGGCATTGTTCCATTCAGCGTATCCGTGGTCGGAAAAGTCGTCTGTTGCACTTCCGTCATCTCCCGTTACTTGTCCTAACGGCAATGGTATTAGTGCTATAGTACCGTATATGTACTCGTGCTAATGTACTAGACTACTAGTACCAGAACATAAAACATAAGTGACCGGGTGACTAGGCGAAATGCTCGAGATGAGCAGTTCAAATTTTGAATCAATGCATGATGTCGGTTCAGGTATAGTAATGGGCAGGGCTCCATTATTTCATTGTCTGCGCGATGTTAAGATAGCGCGATTTGCGCTAGATATACCAGCAAGCGTAACTGTCGTGTTTCACTTTGGTTCTTGGGTCGCGCAGCAGCAGCAAATTCGTTCACTCCCGAGTGCGTGCTGTATAACCACTCGACTGACGCTTACCAAATCCAAGCTCTACATTATTTGACTGGGTGCTGGGAGGCGTCATGTGACCGCGGGTCACCCGATCCGCCTGGGGGTCAGGGGTCGACTGCGGCGGCGGCCGCCCGTCACGGAGGCAGGGGCGGCGGCAGCGGCGTGAGCTAGCGGAAAACATAACAGTAACATCCAATTACAGCCCACAAATGAACATGACTGTGTGGCCAGTGCGCGTGAGCCGATCATCCACGTCCGAAAACTGCTTCCTTATTTTTATTGTAACGAAGTGGCCGCCGTTAGCCGGCGCTCCCGATGAGATCTCGTATGGCTGCGGCCGATTAATTACGTTTGTGAGACGCGGCCATCGGCCGAGCGAGCCGCGGCCGGCTCGACAGCGGCCGGCGCCGGCTCCCTGCGTTCGATCGGCGCAATAGCCGCGCAGCCCCCGCCGCGTCTTTGGCGTAAATCAGGCCGATAAAGCGATTACGGTGCGGTGCCGGGACGGCGCGGACGCGTGTAATGGGATTCGGTGGGCCGGCCCGCGGCGGCACCCCGGGCCGGGCGAGAGCGGGCCGCCGGCCGCCGGCCGCCGGCCGAGCGTTTTTGCTCCGGTGGGTGCCGCCGGCCGGCCGGCTTGCCGACGCACTGACCGCGGTGCCGGAGAGCCACCGGCCGGCGGCGGCTTGACAGAGGACGCCGCGGCGGAGTGGTGCGCTGACGGCAGCGTGGGGGCACTCCCGAGGTTACGGTCGGCGCTGGGCAGGGTCAACCTGGGACCCCTGGCCGGGGACGGGCTTCTTACCGCGCGGCGCGTCGCCGGCCCGGGGCCTGCCGGCTGTCATCGGCCGGAGGTCAGGTGCGGCTTTACCGGGGCTTTGTCTGTCAAGGATAGTCTACGTCATCCCCCGTCCTTGTATGGAGCTCAGGCGTATCTGGGTGGACTGATATCTGAATTATGAGTCAGTTCTTTAGTGCATAAGCTACCCTTCGGGACGATCTCGTTTTAACATGTCATGACCTGGCAGTCGCAGCTCTCTAAGGTTCGAAGTCTCAACACAGTCATAGGCTATCGCACACGGCGGGGGAACGTCCCAAAAAGTGCCTGGAACCTACCCCTTTTCGGGGTCAGCTCGCTTCGTGCATCGCCGTTTGGTTGTTGGCAAGCTCCCACGAAAACAGTGAGTGTCATGGGCCCGGGAGCCGCTCGGGGTCCGTACGCCTCTCCTACCTCGGCTCTGTGGCCCACCGGCACGGCGTTGCGCGGTCGGGTGTCGGGGGAGCAGGCGGCGGCGCGCCGGCTGATCTTGACGCGGCCCTGCCGGCGCGGCCTCGTTCCACCTGCACGTAAACAGAATGCTGATCGCGTCGTGGCTGCAGCAACCTTGGGATGCTAAGCTGCCTGAGTAGGACCCGAGAATTAGGCCACGACCGGGACTGAGCTGTGAGCGACCGCAGCGTGCGAGGGCGCCGCTGCCGTGCCATTCCCTCCCCGTCCCCGCCCCGATGACCGCGCTTGAGTGGCCCCGTCGGCCCGCGGAACACCGGGGCGTATTGTTGTACCGATCGGCTGATTGACAGGGATCAGGGTTCCGCGTGACGCGACCATATCGGCGCCGGCCGCTTGACCGCCCGCGGCGGGCGAGCGTTCACCCCGGCTGCCACTCGGACGGCCGCCGACTTTGTGTCGGCTGACGTGTTTGGGGCGGCGTGCGTGGAGGGGGCGGCGGGCGGATGCGGGAGGCTCCGCTGTCGCAACTTCGCCCACGCGTGCCGCGGCCGGCCGCCAGCGAGGTGGCGCAGGAGCTGCTGAGCTGGGCTGGGTCGCGATCAGCTGATCGGGTCACTGGGCCTGGTCAGCTGTTTGCCGTCGCTGGGATAGGTGCGAACTGAAGGCTAGGCCAATGTATACGCGCGTTCAGTTCTGTATCAGTGTCTGTTCTGGATCTGGATCAACGTCAGGCTTGTTTAGGACAGCCGGGGTCAGCGGGGCATGACATGCTGCTGACCGCGTCTTCGCCTCCGTCCGCAGTCGCTCGAGGAGAAGGACCGCATGAATGACCGGTACAAGGACCAGCTGGCGCGTGAGCAGCGGTTGCTGACCGAGCGGCTGCACGGCCTCATCAGCTTCAGCTGGCGGACGCCGAAGTCGCGCGCCTCCAACAGCTGCAGCTCCTCCTCCTGTTCGTCCGTGTCGTCCGGATACGCCACCTCCGAGTGGGCTGACTCAGGTGAGCGCGGCGGCGCAGCGCGGCTGGCCGCAGCGGCCGTGCCCAGTTTAGCACCGGATGGCGCGGCACGGTGCGGGCCGGTGCCGCGGCGCCGTTGCTTGGCTCCGGCCTAGCGGTCCGTGTCGTCTCCGCCCCTCCGGCGTCAGGTCGCTGAGTGCGGGTCATTGCCGCCTGACTTATGAGCCAGCCACCTCCTGCCTCACGTCAGAACCGGCCGCGACGGCGCGACCCCGCGTCACCCGGCGCGCGCGCGGCCTGCCGGCTCCGATCCTTTGTCCGCAGCGTGCCGAGCGCCGCGTGGCGGCCGGCGCCGGCGTCATGGGGTCCGCCCGGGGTTTGCTCCGACGCACGTGAGCCCCGCCCCGCCGATCGGCGTCCGGCGCGGTGGGCGGGGCGCGAGGCGGCCTCGTCGGTTGGCGGCGGCGGCGGCGGTGCGTGCGGCCGCAGCCTCGGCGGCGGCGGCGCGCGGCGTCAGCTTCCACGAATCTCTCATGCGAACAGGGCGACGCGTTCGTCCGTGCCGGCGCGGCGGTTTTTGCGCGGCCGCTCGCTATCTGACCGAGCGGCCACGGAATACGAAGCCGGCGACCGCTGTCGCCGGGTCACGCTGACAGGCGTCGCACGGACGCGAGCCATACATGGTCGGCGGACCGTTGGCCGCTCGGCTCGCCGTGCAAGCATTAGGGCCGGCGTTGAGCGGCGGGGTTGGGTGCATGGTGGGCCTGCAAGCCGGCATGCGCCACACCACAGCGCCCGAGGCCACTATCAAACGGAGTTTTGCAGACGAGCTGCTTATCCTTTCGGGGACGTCTGCAGCTCAGGCGCTGCACGTGCAGCTTTGCAAACGGTTGGAATTAAAACAAATATGTCCCCGGTGTTGCTGGACCCCTGCAGGGTACCGCGCGACATGTCCGTCAACTTAGCGTCGTATTCGTATTCAAATGCAGTTTTCAGCTCATATTTCCAACGGCGGTTGCGTCGGTCAAACACTTCGAGCCATTCACGAATCTGCATCCCTTTTTCTCTAAGTCATTCAGTTTGACTTCCACAGGTTGATGAAAGGTCAAAACTGGGGTATACTAGCATTCTTTCGTTTATCGAAAGCATCCATTAAAAGGATCGTTTTATATTGATGCTCGAGATGTCCGCTTCCGTTATCTCTTAGCAAACAACTGCTAAGGTTAAGAATAAAAAGTAAATGTCATCTAAAATTGGATAACCTGACATTTCTTCGCTCATGAGGAAAGTACAAAAAGGGCGTCATATTGATGCTAGTGTTGTCCTCTTTTGTCACATCTGCAAAAGCTAACTTTCAATGCCAAAGGTCAAGGAAGCAAAAAACACTGTACCTTAACATTTGGGTGTCGACCGAAGAAAACAAACAAAAAGGGGCACCATACTGATACCATTGGTATCTACTTTCACCACACCGATGGACAAAATCAAGTATAAGGGTCAAGGCTATACAAAAGCGGTACCTTACCAGTATTTTCGTTGAATGAAGCAACACCACAAAACGGGTATCACATTGATGCTCTTGTCTGCTTTTTTCATACAAGTAGAAATTAACTCAAGGTCAGTGGTCGAGCTCACACAAAACGCGGTACTCTGGAATTTTTAAGGTCGAAGGTCAATGTCGCAAAAACGCGGTACCGTGACATTTATTCGTTTGCCCAATTAATGCTGCAAAAAGGGTAGCATCGATCAGTGCTCGTAAGGTATCCATGCTCAAGACGTCGGCCATCGTCACAATTTCATAAACTAAGTCAAGGTCAATGGTGAAGGTAACACAAGCGCGTTACCCCGGTATTTATTCTTTCACTTGAAAGATGCCACAAAAATGGTATTATATCGATAATCAGGATGTCCACATTTGTCACTCCTAGACACAATTATTTAGAAGGTCAATGGCCAAGGTCACACATGTGAACCGTAGGTATTTATTTGTTTGCTTTAAAAAAAACAAAGACAAGAGGGCATCATACCGATGCTCAGGATGTCCAATTTCGTCACACTGGGTGAAACTAAATTCCGAAGCAAAAAACCCAGCTCATTCAAAACGCGACACCCTGAAATTTATTCGTTTACTTGAGAAACACAACAATATTCTCGTCATGTTGATGTTCGGAATGTCTGCTTTCGTCACCCTAAAAAACTAACTCAGCGTCGAACGTCAATGTCACACAACACATGGTAGCCGGGCATTTATAAGTTTACTTTTTAAAAATGCAACAAAATGTGTATTTTAGTGGTGTTCGTGATATCCACTTTCGTCACATCTAGAGAATTGCTTTCAGGGGCGAAGGACAAGGTCACCAAGAAGGCTGCACCATTCCATCTATTTCTTTACCCAAAAAATGCAACAGAGGTCGTATTTATTGATACTCGATGTCTATTTTCGTCAGACATGTTCAAAGGTCAAGTTTACAGAAAACAGGGTACCCTGACATTTATTCTAAATTACTACATGCCCCAAAAAGTAGTATATCGGCACTCAGACCAATATAATATGCCGCATTAAAGAACTAGTCTAGTTTCAAAGGTCAAGACCCTACAAAGCGCTACACCCTGGTATTTGCTTCTTTACTTAAGGAGTGGAAAAATCGGTATCATGGTGGTCGTCATATCCACGTGTCTTATCGGGAAAAAGTGTTTCCAAGGTCAAATATCATTGTCACAAAAAACGTGGTAACCTGGCAATTATTCGTTAACCTTGAGATACCACGTAAAGGGTATCATGTCCATGCTCAGTATGTCAACTTTCGCCACACCTAGGAAAACTAATTCTGGAGGCAAAATTCAAGGCCGCTCAAAATGGGTACCCTGGCATGTATACGTTATCTAAGAAATGCGACAAAAGTCGCATTTTATTGATGCTCTGGATGCCTGCTTTGATCACTCTTTAAAACAAAATCATCTAAGTCAAAGGTTAAAACTTTTCAGAAGACGATTCAAAACAAGACCAAAGGGCACAGCTTTTTTCATTTCCTAAGCAAACGAAAAAATTCCAGGGCATCGCTTTTTGTGTGACGTTGACCTTTGACCTGGAGTAAGTTTTTTGCCTGTTTGGGGAAAGGCAGACATCACGTGCATCAATATGAAACCCGTTTTATTGCGTTTCTTGATCAAACAAATAAATGCATAGTTGCCGCCTTTTGTATGACCGTGACCTTTGACCTTGAACTTGTATTTTGGTGTAACGGAGGCGGACGCCACGAGCACCGTTATGATGCCCATTTTGTTTCATTTATTTGGCCAAGGAATAGATGTCAGGGCACCGCGTTTCGTGTGACCTCGACATTTGCCTTGGGAATTAATTGTTTTTTTTTACGTTTGGCGAAAGCGGACGTCACGAGCATCACTTCGAAAGCTCTTTTATCCTTTTTTGGTGACGGGATGAATGACTGGCTTTGCACTTTTTAGCCTTGACCTTTCACCTCGATAGTAAGTTTTTGATTTTGTGGGAAAGCAGACATCACGGCATCAATAAGATCCTTATTTTATAGTGTTTATTAAGCGAATAAATGTTAGGTTACCGCTTGTTGTGTGACTTTGACCCTTGTTTTGGTGTCTGGTATGGCGAAAGAAGGCAACGCAAACATCACTACGATGCCCATTTGTTTTCATTTATTTGGTCCACTTGTGGATCTCAGTGTGCCGTGTTTCGCGTGACCGTGAGCTTTAACCTTGAGGGTTAGGTTTTGCACGTGTGACAAACGAGGTGTGCGTATTTTGGACGTGTGATAAACGAAGGAAGGCCAGGATACCCAGCTTTCGATCTTTCGTTATCCTGTATATGTCAAACTTAGTGACTTACAGAAAAGAAGATTGCCGATCCCTGAACAACTCAATGAGCTCGACTAGGGGTTTTCGATGTTGGAAATCTAAACTCGACATATAATTCGGATACGAATACGACACTACCTTGATGGCTATCCATACGACGAGGATGAAATCCCTGCTCGATGCGCCGGCTAACCTTGATCCGTTTTGACCTGTTCCATCCACGGACTATTTACGAGTTGTTCCATGAGGCCGCTTTGAACGGCTCTGCTTCTCAGCCCCGCCCCCGGGCGATGTGGATCCACGGTGTCGAGCTCAGACGCTTCACGCGACCCAGCTGCGTCAGAGGGACGGCACCGTCCCATCTGCGCGGCCGGTCAGTCCCTGGCACGCGGCTGAGACCCTGTCGCTGCCGCCGCCGCCGCCGCCGCCGCCGCCGCCGCCTCCTCCTCGTGCCGGGCGCCGGGCGCCGGGCGCCGCCGCCGCCGCCGCCGCGCCAGACAAAGACGGCGCCGCCCGGCCCGGCCGCTTGTCCGCCGAACGTTTTTATCGAACGCTAATTTGCCGGCCGAGTGCGACACCGCGCCATCCTCGGGCGCGACCGCGGGCGGGGCGCGCGCGCAAACTGCCGACTCATCGGCTATTAGAGCAGGCGGGCGGCGGGCGGCGGCGCGCTGGCCGGTCGCAGGGTCGACGCTCGCCTCGGGACGGGGCTGGCCGGAAGCGGTGCTCTGCCCGCACTGTTTGGCGGGCGGCTCGTCCAATATTGACGCCGTCCGCCCGGCCGATCGCGCCGGGCCGGCCGCCCGTCTGATCGGTACGCCGCGAGGCGCGACAGACTGCGTCTGGCCGTCGGTCTGTAAATCCTGTGGCCATGTCGCATTCGCCGTCCCCATGGCATGGTGGTTTGCGCACCTGTTTCTTCCCATGGTGACTGGCAGACACGTTGGTGCCGAGCCATACTGTCTTGGTGGTTTGATTCTCATCCAGCTCATGGGAGCCCCTACTGAGAACGGTTGTGTACCAATGACGCTCGTGTCGTGGCTGGGGTTGTGCTTGGCGTGCAATAAGTTTAAGGTGTCATTTGCTCAGCAAGTTTTGGAAAAATGAGCTCGTAGTCCGGACCCATTGGGCGGCCGGGTCGGGTCCCGCACGGCAGGGTGTGCTCGGCAAAGGCTTCCCTTGACGTCACCCGAGGAAATAGCTCGGCGAATATAGTGGCGTTTGTTTGCAACCCACCCAATATTGGAAGTCTTTGTTCATGAATACCCGACGCCACGTCTAAACTCCAGTTGTGAACTTTTAATCCTTGTTACAACATTTCACATTGGATTGGGGGTTGCGTCAGCATAATTTAACAGCTGTTAACATTAATGGCTGTTTAGGCTACGCAAGAGCTATCTCAGAACAAAGGGCTCGGACGTGGTGTGAACGCTTGGGGTAAATTCCGATCCGGTCGGAAATCAAATAGCTGACAGCGTCCCGCGCGGCTTGTGTGCTCACGTGTGCCCTGAAACGTGTCAGCTCTCCCCCGGCGTCCTGCCGACCGCTGGTCCTGCGCTGTCACCCTGGCCGCGTCGCTTTGCCTGACGCCGCCCCTGCCCGGCCGCCAGACGAGCTGGAGAGCGGCGGCAGCCTGAGCCCCGGCTCGGACGGCGGCGCCGCCGGCGAGGACGTAGAGGGCGCCACGTTCGGGCTCGACTCGCTCGCCATGACGGCCGCCGAGGCGACACCCGTCACCGCCGGCCGCCGCTAGCCGGCTGTCTCCGTGACCTGAGGTGGGCGTGCCCGGCTGTGTGCCGCCCCACTGTCTCGGTGAGGGGCGGCGCCGATGCCCGCTGGTCGGCACGCCCCGGCGGTCTGCAAGGCTCGGCCGACGGCCGGCTCACGCTCGGCAGCCTGCCGGGCCGGCAACGTGTGTCGCCCGTTTGCCTTGAAAAGAGCCGCTTCGATCTGTGCAGGTTTTATGGGTTTGGGAGAGTTGTCAGACAGCGGTCAGCGAAGGTTGAACTTGATGCCGTTGTTGTTTGTCGCAAGCCTCAATTATCGTGAAACGACAAGCATGCTATGTGTGCCGTGTGTAGCCTTGCCGCATGGTTGGCATGGTTTGAAAGCCGTTTTCCGACTATTATACCGATTCGCCGGTGTTTGTGATTGTCATTCCGCCATTAATGTCCGGAAATGCATGCTGGACGTGGGGCATACAAATTATTGGTGACATTGGGTACACCGCAAATTATCGTTTGTGGCCGTCCGCAAGTTCTGTGCCGCATAAAGGGCGAGGTGGTTTTTGGTGGAGCATATCAAAGTGTGGTAAAAGGGGTTTTTGGGCAACGTCACCTCGAGCTCAGGTGTGGTTGCAAATCGCACTGAAACCTACAGAAAAAATAAAATACGTAACCAGGTTGTGGGAGAGCGGTCCATGCCCAGCGTTTTCAGTTGGTAAACATGGGGAGGAAGGGTGTAAAACGATGGCGGAAGAGCTATCGCCAAGCATAGCGTGCCGCCTGCATACTAAGAGCCGCTACGTGCATAGCTGGAGACTCAAGAGTTATGGGATTGGTTAACATCTGGAATTGGTGTGGTTGATTGTGGTACGGGGCATCCTGACCCTGTCGTCCGTGAAATCTGTCGTCTCCTGTTGCACCGATGCGCACGCAATGCCGCGCAAATAGGTGGGAGTATATAGGTGTATTGTGCGTACGTGTAACTGCCTGATAATGGCCTATGACGGACGAAATGTTGCAAAAATTTGGAGATGTAGCATATGTCATTCAGCCACGTAAGAGAAAGTATCTTCGCAAGACCGATAAGTTGAAGAAGATCACGAAGCTGGATCGTAACAAATCTTACGTCAGCTGCTTATTCCCTGGCACAATTGTACTCGGCACATTTTCTTTAATTGCCTGCCATCCATGTGTGGTCGGCGTTATAGTTTTTTGAATTTGGTGAGTTTGCCTTCAGTCGCAGGTTTTGAGCTTGATCAGCTTGGCTTCAACTGGTCGCCGGATGTAAAGATGCATTTTGTTTATGGGATTGTGCTGCTACTTTTATATAAATCGCATTGGCCATGACTGATGGCAAAGTCAGACAGAGCCGGTGAAGAAAGAAACAAAGAGATAATTGATGGAAATACTTCGTTATCGAACGATGGCATCGTAGCGTGGTTCCTTCGCAAATTACCTGGCATTGTACTTTTGCTAGTTTTATTTTGCCGTGCCCTTGGGCCTACTCACTGATAATTTACCTGCAATCGGCATGCCAATTTGCCAGCTGTGGTTGTTCCGTGGCTGCTCGCCGCCGCTCGTGCGCATAGTTTCCCATTTCCTCCACCGAACCTGCCGCCGCCCGGTGCCTCCGTGACTGGCCATCATGGAGGACAGTGGTAACTGTGGCCACAGCTGTTTGCGGCAAGCCCGCCGTGGTGTGTTGTGTTCTGTTTGACTGCACCTCTTTGTCCGCGCTGTCAGCGTGGGTAACGTTCGTCGCTGGCTGTTGCAGCGATCGGCGCCGCCTGACGTCTGGAGCTCGGCTGGATGGCGTCCGATGCTGTACCTGTCGAGACTCCGAGCCGCCCGACCGCCGCCTGACGTCTGGAGCTCGGGTGGATGGCGTCCGATGCTGTACCTCTCGAGACTCCGAGTCGTCCGACCGCCGTCTCCCAGCGCCCCGATCGGTCCAACCGCCGTCTCATAGCGCTCCGATCGGTCCGACCGCCGTCTCCAAGCGCTCCGAGCCGTCCGATCGCCGTTTCCCAGCGCTCCGAGCGGCCCGACCGCCGCCTCCCAGCGCTCCGAGCGGCCCGACCGCCGCCTCCCAGCGCTCCGAGCCGTCCGACCGCCGTCTCCCAGAGCTCCGATCGGTCCGGCTACCGTCTCCCAGCGCTCCGATCGGTCCGACCGCCGATTCCCAGAGCTCCGATCGGTCCGGCTACCGTCTCCCAGGGGTGCGAGCCGTCCGGTCATCGCCTCCCAAGACTGCGCATGGTCCGCCTTCCGTTTGGCAGGGCTCCGGGCAGCCGACCTGCCCTCAGCTGAGCTCTTAGGTGCGGGGCCCGCCGTCACTGCGCTTCCTCACGCCCCGGTCGCCGCGTTTCTGGCGAGAACAGTGGCCCGATCGGAGTGTTGGACACCTGAGAGCTGCCGACCCGGTCGTCCCGCGCCGCCCCACCGCTTTCGCGTCCCGTGCCGCCCAGTAACCTGGTGCCGCAGGGACAGCGTGTCATCGCCAGCTGTTTTGATACCTCCCAACCCGCTGGACAGTACAAACTGTATCATGGGATTGGCTAGTGCTGTGCTTTGTTACACTACAGCTGACCAGTTCCGAATCGTCGGATCATGCGGCCTTGGACTGACTGTCGGACGGCGCAGAGATGGCGGGCTGGGAGCCTCGAGTGAATGGTCCGTTTATGTCAAAGCTTTCATCCCACTATGCTCAAAGCTGTTAGGCCAGGGCACTTCAAACTCTCAGTTTTTGCGCTTGGAGTATGGGGACATTTAGCGTCAAGTTGCGAGCGAACTAGAGCCCTAAGCTGACAACGCCATGACCGTCAGCGGTGGGCGGACACCATGTCTGATGTGCTACTGTGGAGTTAGACATCGCCGCCGGTCTGAGGCGTGTTACCGTGGAGCTGGGAGTCGCCACAGCTTCAGAGCGTGTTACCGTTGACCTGGAGCGGCCACAGCTGTGAGACTGGCTGCGCGTGGAACTGGGAGCGGTCGGACTGCTCGGAGTCGCCCGGCGATGGGGTCGCCGGCGCCCCCGGCGTGCGACTCGCGGGCGACCGTCTACCTCGCCGGCCCGCTGGCCAGCCCACGGCGCCGCGCTACAACGTTTTTGGTGTGCACGCAAAACGGATGACTGAATTTTGAAGGTACAAAATGCTGCCGTGCAGTCAGTGCAGTACTCGCGTTCCGGCAGCGACCGTCCGGTCCGCCGGCCTCTGCCGCCAGCACGACGCTCTGCGCGTGCCAGCCGAGAGGCACGCCCGTGGGTGACGTTGATTCAGCCACTACGGCCTTGTCACACAAACGCTTCTCCAGTCCTCAACACCGCAAAGCTGTTGGCTGTGTGCTGATGTAAAGCTTTATTGATTAGTTCTCTAGCACGAACTTTCCAATCGGCTCCGTTTTTAGTGATAAACAACCGTGATTTAGAGATGTGACAAACGTGTCCGTTCAGTGTCGTAGGCAAACCTGTCTGCTCCCAGATAATGCATGTATCTGTAGCTGTGTAGGTGATTAGAAATTATTTATTGACCTTAATCTGTCTCGGTTCCAATCTCTCCATGAATACAATGTGAACCTACATGATCATTTCATTCAAGATATTGGAACTCGAACATGTGACCTGAATACTTGGTGGGCTTTTGGATGTGATTGCGGGCGGGCGAGGGCGAGAAGAGTCATAGTAACTCGGCTCGCCGCACTGCTTTCCACAAACGAGGAGTTTGCGGGAGCCAAATGACAGTTGTGGGATTCATGAATGAACAGATTGGACGTAACGAAAAGTTGCTTTCGAGCAGTGCACATTGAAGGTTGTGACATTCCGTTGTTACGGGATAGTTGTTCTTGCCAGCCCTGCTTCTTTCGTCGCGATTTGAGCATCGTGTTTATCACAGTTTTTTAGTGCGATTTCGTAGCAATTTCAATATTATCAGCCGGTTTGGGAGTTTTGAGGAACGTTCAGGGGTGAAGGTGTCTTCTGTTACCGACGAAATGCGGAAAGACCTAAATTGTCACCTGTAGCGGAAGATATCTGAAACCGTTGCAGTATTCCTTTGAAAGTGCTGAACCACACAGACCATAGATGAATGAGCTGCAGTGCAATATCAACGTCATAAACACCTCAATCGAAGGTGTTTATTTTGGGAGCTTTACTCAGGTCACGCCATATTCGCGTGGTTCGGACGTAGGCAGCAGTGCACGAGCGGCTGGCGACAGCGGGCCACCGGCAAACGACGAGGATATCACTTTAGTTCAAATGTAAAATAGCGCATGCACGGAAAAGGCGAGAACATGCATATTCAGCGCCCGTATAATGGCCATAAATGGCTGGTAACAAACCCCATGCACATATCTCAGGATCTATTTCACACTGAGGCAATACCGGTGTCGGAGAAAGCGCTCTTTTGCGCTTTAATCCATCCATAAAAATCCCTCCTCCGCTCTGCTGTCAGGTTGAACACTTATTGATGTGGCGCGCTACATTGCCTTAATTTGAGAAGTTGCAACTCGGATTAGCCTTTACAATCCGTGTCTGGGAAATTCTCCCCAATCCAGAACCAGCAACCAGAAATCCGACCCTGAATTACCTGTCAAATGATCTGGATTACTCAGGTCAGGTCAATGGGCCAAATTTTAAGAAATTCGTTCTGACATCGAAACATAATACACCACACCAGCACAGTGCACCGGCCATATCAGACATCCTTCTCACAGCGACTTCAACGTCGATTCCAACTCGATCGGCCGCCACCACGACGCAGCCCCGTGCCGTGGTGGACAGACAAAAGTAGCTCCACTCAGGAGGCCATTGCGAGGCGGAGACGTGTTTTTCGAAGTCGTCAACGACATCACGGCATCCCTCAGTTAATCGCCCGCACAATGAACGCTAAGAGCCAGGAAACTCATAAGGCCTCCAAAATGGGATCTCTGGCAAAATTTTTCGTTCCAGCCCACAGTGGTCATTATTAAGCAAAATTTGAAGACTGCTTTGTGTATGATCTGCCAAGCGGCCGCTGTTTTCACTCCCAATTCCCAAAGTAAACAACGCTTTAGTTATTACACCGCCGCAGAAAATAAAAAGTCCACTACAGTTTTTTGCACAATAACAAGCCAGGATTTATCAATCATGCACGGCCCAGCTTTGATTTGCCTCCGAACTGTCCCCTTTCTGGCAATACCGACGCTTACAGAGTACTGTTCTCCTCGCCAGAGCCTCGCAATGTAACTAAATCTACCGGTTAGACTTGAATAGGTCAATATTAATAACACCACACTTTCTTTCGACGTTTACCTAGCGGAATGTTTCAGCTCACTCCGAAATTTGTCAATGGTCTGTGGTCTTCCCACGTTTTTCCATAGGCGTGAAAGGATACAATAATCATTTTACCTTAAAATCGGCAAAGACACTCACCCAACCAAATGTCGACCCGTTGAGCTCACCACCTGCCCTAAAAAACTGCTACGCTTGATTGGAAAACGCCTTGGCTGGGTAATAGACCATGATAAGCTGATATCGGACCAAAATTGCAAATTTATAAACAACCATATCACCTGTAACGATATTATCCGCTTAGAAGCGGATGTTCCTCGTGTATTTCGTCAAAACGGCAAGTCACAGCGGTATTCCCAAATATCATTTGCGCCCACGATATGATATTCAAACCAGTCCGTATTTTCAAGTTCATAAGTTAGGATTGAAGGGAAATCTGGCACCCTGCTTTGTGGGATTTCACTCGAGGACGCGGCAGTTCCGCGTGAGGGGTCGGTCGGCTGTTTCCGGTGTTCACTTCCTAGATATCCGACTCACGCGAGGTAGCTGAATTTCTCCTGTGCTTTTCAACCTAATGATTAATGATTTATTTGATAAACTCCCTCCTGGCATTTCCTCTTCACTTTTTGCCGATGACAGCGCAGTCACAGAACACGATTACTGACTACCACATGTCCAAGGCGCATAAGACAAGATACAACAATGGTCAAGGCTTTGTGGTTTCCAGTTCTCCTTCAAGAATCGCTCCATACGATTTTCAGTAAAATACAACGAGATACACCATTGTGTTTTCTTCATATTGATGACCACCATTTTCATTTTGTTTCATCGTTAAGTTTCTAGGCATCGTTCTTGACCGGACATTATCAATGTGCAAACATGTCGGACATATCCGCACCAAATACATGGATTGTTTGAATTTGTTCAGATACGTTACAGGATCAATGTATATGCTGACCGCCATAAATCATTGGTTGTTCCGATCATTGAATATGACTCCGTTTCCTTTGCAGGTGGTGGTAATGATGGTCCAAAATCCTTGTCATTCAAAATAATTTTTGCGGCTAGCGCAGGGAGCGCTGCAGATATCTCCAATTTTCGCACTTGAGGAAAATGCCTCTCGCCCTCGACGTGTTGATTGCATCTTAAGGTACATCACAAAAGTTCGACAAGATCCGGAGATAAAGATAATCCTTCAAATATACGGAAGACCGGCAGAACGTCTATTGGGCCGTGATCGCTTTTCGTGCGACCGTCTGCTTCCAAAACTTAAGTTCCGTTGTACCACGGTTCTCCATGCTCCAGATTTCATTGTGCCTCCCTGGCCGTTGACACCACGGAAAGCTTTCTTTCTTCCCACAAATCTTAAAAGCTCTGTGACAATAGCTCATGTGCGACAGAGGCTCAACCGCATGGTCACAAAATTTCCAAACTGTCACTTTATTTATTCCGATGGTTACAGATCTGAAAACGGCACGGGATGTGCGCTTCTGTCACAAGCATTATTCACAAAAAAACACAGATTACCAGATAGCACATCTACTTACCTCGCGGAATAATTTGTTTATTTCGTTCCTAGCAATACATAGAACGACAAAATCGTAGGACCGGGACCCTAGTGATCTGCTCCGATGTAAAGGCTGCTTTGCAGCCACTTATTGACCCCGACTTAACTCACCACCCTCTCGTCAATATCATAAACCTGCATAATCTTTGAAACATACAGGGCATAGACATCACCTTATTGTGGATCTCAGGCTGTTAAGGCATCGCAGGGAATGAGCGGGCCGACCAATTGGTCAAGGAAGCCTTGCCGCCCCCCCCCCCTCCCCCCCCCCCCACATCACACCCAGCCCTGTTGGCCATGACACTATGGAGACATCCATTCGCAGCTTGACAAAACGACTTTGGCAAGGACTATGGATAGAAACAATAGAGCCCAACTTAATGATACCAAACCAGACATCACACATTGAACATAAGGAAACTGCACAGACCGTTTGGAAGAGAAGGTGTTGACCCGTCCTCGGTTTGGATGCATAAGGCTCACTTACATTTATGTATTTATATATATATATATATATATATATATATATATGCATATGCATATATGTATGTATATACGTATATACATATTCCCATATATAAACATATATATATATATATATATATATATATATATATATGACATATACAGATATATGTAGACATCTGTTGATATTTCGAAAACATGTCTTTATCAAAACAAATAGCAGAAGTGAATAAAAAATTGCTTGCCGATGAGCCTACCTGATTTGTCAGGGTTTTTTTAAACAACGAGCCACAGTTTCTGTAAAACACCAACATTCAGGGGCCATTTTCCATTCTTTCCTCCGAGGGTTATTACTACTGTCTTACCAACTTGGAATTATCTTTGGAACAACTATTAGGTGATGGTCATCCTCATCTGCTTGATGTTTTGTTCAGTTTTTTTGTGATGTTGGCCGGCTCCCGCATGGGTGCAACGGCAACGGGCGTTCTCCTAATCTAGGGGAAAGGGGTCGATAGTCATTTTTCTTACCTCCTTCCATTCCAGACCAATGGAGTGAGTGTTAAATTTTAAGAAAGTTTGGGACTCATCCCCCCCCCCTTCTATTCACGCCCGTGCGTAAGCGTATTCGCTTCCCCCGTCGATTAGATTTTAACTGCTTTGCTGAATATAAGCTCGCAGAACACATGCTCATGCTTCCATAAAATTTCACCTGGCCGGTTCGTGGATATACGCACCTACCAGCAATAATTAGTTGTTACTGATGGGGAAGTAGCCCGATATTCAGGTTGCATCTCCAACAGCCAGTGCGTGCGTGTTTTCGGTTTTTACGCCGAATTACATTTAGCTCGCTAGACATACGCACTCGTAATTAGCGTATCATTATGCTCCACATTACATTCTGGGCATTTGGCCTCCGGGTTGCATGCACCTACCCCCAACACTTCTTCATAACCCGTTAGTCAATGAATGGCTCGTATGTCATATATTTGCCACTAATGTCGATATATTTATCGATTGTGACGCACGGCATAATCCGTGTGTCCCAATTAGTAAATATATCAAAGCATGGGGTTTATACCAAGACAGATTTGTTCGGCCACCCAAAAGGAGGCAATGTATGAAAAGGGACACCAATACTTCATGCACGAATGTTCCGCCTTTGGTGTTCGTAAGGTATGGGCTGTGGTCTGCTATGAGCGTACGTTTTTTTTGTTGCTGTTTTTTTCAGTGGTCGCCGCGCCGGCGTTACCCCTCATGGTTAGCTGTGGGGGGTCGTGGA